CTGTTGTCAACTGTACTAATCGTGTAATGGTCGCACTGCTTGACCAGCATGATGCCTTCATGGTCTTCCCTCCCCACGACTCAAAGGATTTTGAGCTTGCTCGGCAGTATAGTGCAAAGGCTACCACTTGCCCTGAGTGGAAGAATGGGATCCTAGCTGTTGATGGGACCACAGTTGATCTGTATGCAACTCCAGGCTTTTTCCATGAGGCTTTTTATGATAGGAAATCTAAGTATTCCCTTGGTTGTCAAGTGAGTTTTTTATTTTTATTTTTATGATTAAAAAATTAAAAAAATTCAAGGCAGTCATTATGCCTCATAATCTTCTTATAGTTGATTATGCTCTTGGTCACCCTGGAAGTGTCCATGATGCATATGCATTTAAATCCACTCGTATCTATCAAGAGCACGACACACTTCTGCCAGCTGATCACTGGATCTGGGCAGACAGTGCTTACCCACTGAACACCTGGTGTATTCCTCCTTTCAAGAAGCCCCGCAATGGACAACTAACAGCAAATCAGAGGACCTTCAATTATTATCTTTCCAAAGTTTGTATATTTTTTTCTCCTGATTTTTCTTCATTTTAATTTTATTTAGGTCCGTGTCCGTGTCGAACACGCATTTTCTGCATTGAAAGGGCGGTTCCAATCTCTTCGAGATCTTCGACAGAATATCAATTCAGCAGAGGACCTGCAGGCAGCTGTCCATCGGATTCAGTGTTGTTTGATACTTCACAACATGATAATCCGTTTTGAAGAAAAGCACAATCTTACAGGGAACAGGGGCTCAGTGAAATGGGCTTGTCAGGAGGACAATAATATTGCTCATGGTGAAGATGAAGGACCAGATGGGAATGGGCAGGTGGGTGATAGGTTGTATGAAGGGACACCTGGTCACATTCATAGAGAGATGTTGAAAGATTTGTTATTGGACAGTCCTCACTCAGGGGCACAAAGGAGAGGAGAGTAGGAATAGTTGCAGATTCTATTGGCAAGCTAGTACACACAAAGATCAATGTAACAGAAAGTAACATGTGTAACATATGAGCAGTATGAACAGCAGGATAGCACACCCTCAAGACCCAGAAGGATTAGTAAGCCAAGCAAGTTCAATCTTGAGGCGGAGCGTTGTTGCCTCCTCAGCATGTGCATGTGCCAATGCATCATGCATCTTGGCCTCTGCCTCGCGGAGGCGGATCTCGGAGGCCTTTGCCTCCAAAGAACGTTGATGGGCAGCAGCAGCTTCCACACATTCGTCGGCACATTCGGTCTTGAGGAATCTGTGCTCGCTTACCTGACGCGCAAGATTATACTTCAGCATGTATCGCTTGTTCTTCAGCTCCTCCCTCGTAATCCTATCCGACTGCGCGTTCCCAATCTCGTCCTTGATCAGATCAACTTGGCTCTGAATATCGGACCGTGCCTTCTTCGTCTGCTTGCGTTTGCCCGTGGAGGACGCAGCTTTAGATGTCGGAGACATCGCTGCAGGCGCCGATGACGTCGACAGTCTAGACTGCAAGGATGACCCTGAAGAGCGGCGAGAGACAGGCTTGGGTGATGCCGTGCCCGGACGTTTCTCTGAAGAGTGGCGAGAGACAGGCGTGGGTGATGCCATGCCCGGACGTTTCTTCGGATCAGCGAGCGCAAAGGAACTGCGACTGTCGCGGTGGGAAGTTTGCAATTTTGGTGGTAGAATGAAGTCTGATTTTGGCGGGGGAGTGATAGAGGGGGATGGGGACGGGGACGGGGACAGCGACGGGGACGATGGAGGAGGTGGTCGCTTCGATCTTGCAGGTCTAGACTTAGGTGGACTATCCAGGATGATGACATTAGGTTCGTCCCGGTAATCAGGCATCACAGGGTGATTGCGTGGCGGTAGGTCACCAAATGAAAAATCTGTCCCCTCCCCATCATTGGGAAGGGTAGAATAATCTAGCATGTTGATGTCCTCATCCTCGTCGAGAGGAGAGTCAGAGGGGGGAGGCGTGCTGTGAGATTGAGTATGATACCGGGGGCGCTGGGCATGCTCCTCATGGTAGCCCATCTGATAGGGCTGAGGGCGTGACTGAATCCATAGTGACTACCGGGAGCAGCATAAGTGCCGGGAGGATAAGTACCGGGAGGAGGATGAGTACCAGGAGGAGGATAAGTACCAGGAGGAGGATGAGTGCCGGGAGGAGGATGAGCGCCGGGAGGAGGATAAGTGCCGGGAGGAGGATGAGCGCCGGGAGGAGGATAAGTGCCGGGAGGAGAATGAGCACCGGGAGGAGGATGAGCACCGGAAGAAGGATGAGCGCCAGAAGGATTATTAGCACTGGCAAGATTAGGCTGAGGATGAGTGCCAGGGGCATAGCCATACTGAGCGCTTCCAGAATTCGAGCCATTAGAGTATGAGCTCCCAGCTGAATGTGAGATTGAAAAAAAATTGGCGGCGTGGTCCGTTCCCGGGCGTGATGAAACCGTTCGAGAGGACAATGCCGGATTCCCCCTCAAAATGATAGCAAGATCGTCATACCACGGAAATTCTTTGAGTACCTGCGCTGTGAAATTTGTCAGTTAGACTATCTTAAATATGAAAGGGATACATACCACGTAAATTCTGGGGAGCGTGTTCGTCCTGTGGCATGACACCAGCACCAGTGGCATGCAATCGATCGTGGCATTCACGATTTTTTTTTTTGAGACTTTAAATAGATGTTAGTACATAGGGGGAGGACTATCAGACAAACTTACGCCTGGATGTGATTGTTCGTAGAGTCTCGGAATTTATCCGGTGCATTTGCATAGTGGTCTGTATAGTCACCATCGTCCTCAAAGACATGCTTGGCAATGATAGCGCAGATTGAGACTTTATCTTTGGCCGAGGGGCGGCCATCATCAGGGTGTGATTGTTTTACTTCAGAGGGGAATAATATCCGACAATCAGCTGAGTGGTCACGGAGGTAGTCGACGACCTTCTGGGTGCGGAAGGGAGCAGATAGCCATTGTATCTGAAACTTGGGCTGATCTGGGCCGGTAGTACTTCGCGAACCTCGAGACTTGCCACCCCTTCCACGGGTGACAGGCCCTGACATTTGGTCCATGGAGAATCTCTCTTTTCGAAAGGGTGTCTGCAGTGCTTTGAGTCGTGCAGAACGACGAGGAGGTCGTGGTCGAGCAGCAGGCATAATTTTCCAAGTCCGCTACGATGCCGAGTGTGCCGCATGTTTAAAATTTATAATATGTCTCAAGAGTGTCGCCTTCGATCATGGAGAGTGAGTGGATTGGATTCCGCAATAGGAAACACAACCGTATTGGCGCAATTACGACTTGGCTCGATTGAAAGCTTGGCTTGCTCTCATCCATTTACTAGTACGTCCAAATTTAATAATAAGCCTGCGCATTATATCTTACAGTTTTCAAATGTTCTCCCTCATCAGGAACATCTCTGTCCTCCATCGTCAATGCACATGCATCCTCGATGCTGGCCCACTGCTTAACGATTTCTTCCTTGTCAGCTCATCGATGTATTTCCCACATATGAGTTCACGTTCAGCACATTCACGAGACGACTGATTCACAACGCTTCCTCAGCACCTTTCACTTAGCTCATCGTCTCGCCATTAGTGACTTGGCGGGCCTGAATCTGTCTGAATTGAAGCTGTGTTGCTCAATATATCACCTTGTCATATGTTTGCTGAAATCCAATAACACGAATTCATTAACGCGAAAATCAATCAAGTCCTCCTGTACCGCAAGCATATCTATGTTTATCAAACACGACTCAAGAAGACGATGTAAATTTGCTGTTCGAGTTTCATCGTCAGGCATACTTCATATTCCACTCCAATACGTGACAGCCAGGGTGACTCACATGACTGAAGGGGTGCGTTCACTGACATTCTTTCGGCGACCAGCGATAGTTCAGTGCTTCTCATCGAGAATGTTTGGAAATAACCTGTTGGAGAGAGCAGCAGAGATGCCTTGAAGAAGGTCAAAGAGTTCACAAGCGACACCCAAACAGAACATGGAGATCAAAAGTTTGTCCCTTGCTTATGTTTATCTCGTGTATCTCACGTCTACCGTAAAGCGTTGAATGTCGCCTAGCCCGTATGTCACCATCTAGTTTCGTCATCCACGATATCCGGCATTACTGAATAAGTTATCCCGGATGACAGGACAAAGATAACGAATAGCAGAGGGCATCGAACGCGAGGATTCCCTTTCACATTGGCTTTGGAGGACGTGGCCTGACTGCGGAGCTCTTTGATTTTGGTGCTGGATGCAGGCGGACCGATGTTCGACAGGAGCACAGACGACACTTTGATAGTTCCGCTTGGTGTATCTCCAAAGCTAATCTCACAATGTATAGAGCTACACTCACCCATTCGAATCTATCTGTCTGAAATACTGACAGCTTTTCCAATATCCAGCTACAATTTCTGCACACGCATCAGCTACAAGATATCCCGGAAAGTCTGACAGCAGTGAAAGGTGCGTCAGTGAACACGTCTATCACAGGGAAACATCACGACATCGTTTCAACGTTAACGGGAGGTAGGTTTGAGGATGAGTCGAGGAGGTGCCGAGCACTTCACAAATATGAGTACGTTTTGAATCATTAGCGCCTACCATAGGAAATGAATATCGAATACCGGCTATATCTTGCCTGAAATCGTCGCGTCAAAGTAGGCCTGAGCATGACACGACACGACACAATACTAAGTGCATGCTTCATGGGCAGATTAGCTCTAATTTTGGAGCGAATGCAAGCAGTACGCATACGGGCCACAAGTCGAAGCAGCCAGCCGGAATTCACTTCTGACTTCACTCGGCATTGATTACATGGGCAGTGGTTAGTCGAGATTCGATGAGGCAGAAGGGGCGGGACTTGAAGGCGCGGGTAGGCTTGGTTGGACTCCGACTATCTAAGTATCCAAGTAGCAGACGAAGTTACAACCAAGTCGAGTACACAAGAACTTTGGTGAACATTCTAGTCGAAAACAAAGCATGGCAGGGTATATGAAAACAAGATAGCTAGAGCGCAAGAATAGGTATATATCAGGGTCATTTGTACAACATAATGAAAGAGGATAGCAGATAAACAATATGTGAATATGTACCAGACGACAGCAATACGGGGTAGAACTACACACCAATATGAACAAAAACCATCCTCTGCTCGAGCGGCACTTTCGTCTTCACCGCGTGCGTAGCACAGTTCAGTGCCCAGGCTGCCCTCGTGCAGTCCATGACGCCACCATTCTTCAAATCTCCAAACATATACCCGTAAAAAGCTTCGACGACATGTTTTGCGACAGAGTCGTCGACCTCCCACAGAGTGCCAACGACACTCTTGAACCCTGAAAATTGAATACCAGCTGCGAGGTGGATCACTTCATCGGGCGTCTCCTCATCGCCTACAGCAGTATGACAGGCCGATAAGAACGCGAACTCAGCGTGCGGAATATGTCTCTCCATAATATCGAGCAGCGTCAGATGTTCGTCTCTCATGACGAAATGCGAATCGTAAGGCTGCGTGGGGTCCTGCTTACCATGACAAGCGAGGTGCACCCAGGTGTTCTGCTGCAAAGCTGACAGTGCACCTGCTCGTGTGGCTTCGTCGCCAGAAATAGTGGTGCGGTTGGCCGTCGCAGGGACGAGCTGATGGACAAGCTCGAGCTCGCTGTCGACGGCCAACAGCGCCTTGCCTTTCCCTGCACCCGGTTGACCCTGTCCGATCGCTACAAAGGACGGAGGCACACGCTTCTTCATCAACTGTCTAGATCTGATCAGAGCCGAAAGTGTCGGCGTGTAAGAGCAAATGTAGATATCCTCGAGGCATGGCTCCTTCCCAGAACGATCCGCCTTTGTTTGAAATGGGTGAGCTGCATGGAGAGGAATGGACGTGAAAGCTGCAGTGGGACACAGCCAGATTCGAGAGCGGCGCTGTAGTTTGAGGATGTGCTCGAGTACGTCGACGATGGGCAGCATGATATGGCCCCATATTATCCGCAAAAGCACTATTAGATCCGTCCTCAGCTCCCCTGGGTTCATCCGAGATGAATCTCGTATTGCCCTGGTGAAGCGATCCTTGAGAATCTTCAGATCTGTGAGAGCGATGGACGGCAAAGGAACATGGTGGGGGTCTCCTGACGTCGGGACGATGATGGCGCTGCATGAGTATCGACTCGCAATGAGGATGATGACTGGGCCTTGGCGCGCTGCCGCTTGCAAATCTTCATACAAAGGTGGAAGCAGAAACCGCGAAAACGCCAGAAGACCACGTATCCTAGCTACAGCTGCTTCCCATTGCCTTGTAAGTCTCCTATACTCTACTGCTTCCCGATCGGCAGCAGCTCTGTCGGTGATGGTTGCAGAACTTTGGGCTGCATTGGAAACGCGCTTGCTCAGCTCCAAATAATTGCACGCCAGTTTCGGATTTGTTGACTCGAGGTTTTCGACTGGAGTCCTGAGTCGAGATGCCAGCGACCACTGCTGGCCACGGCCCTGCTCCACGAGCTCGACTGCCCGCCGTAGATTGACATGACGTATAGCACATGGGGCTGCATCTACGGGCAGGGATCTCACGTAATGGAAGGCAGCGGCAGCTTCGCGTCGTGAAATTGTCGATGATCGCGTTGCCAAATGACCATCAAGAAGGTCAAAACACGTGCTGTATGCCTCTAATGCGGACACATCACCAAGCTGCTCCGCGTCAATGGTCCAATTGTATGTTGTCATAATGCGTTGCGGGAATCCTTGAGTGGGGTGCCCTGATGCAAGTCTGAAGTTCTGTATAGCCAGCGACAATTCACCAGGGTCACATAGAATTTGGTAACGAGCCAAATAGGCTTCTTGCAGCCACATGTAGCTGAAATACCTGTCCGGGTGTAATGAAGACAGAGCCGCCAATGATTGTTGGCAAAGGGTAATGGCCTCCTCGACATCTTCCTTCTTCTGAGTTTGCGTGAAACGAGAGCAGAGCACCGAGCTCAAACCTGAAAGAGTTGTGGGGCGCCCTGGATGGTCAAGCTGCTTTAACCGAAGGGATTCGCGATACAAATCAATGGCCTCGTTGAGATCCTCACTAACATGCAATTTGTCATATCTGGTTTTGAGCGCGACGGCAAGGGTGTTAAGCGTGATGTCACGACGTGAATGCCCAGGTGGGCGCAACGTCAGTGCCTCGCGATGGAGGCTGATGGCTCGGGTGATGTCATCAATGTCGCCGCGTTCGTTGAAACGGGCGACGAGGGCGAGCCCTAGGCTGCTCAATGAGCAATCATGATATTTGTGCCCAACAGGGCGCAGACGCAGCGCCTCTTCGTGCAAAGTGATGGCCTCATCGAGGTCATTAGGTTTGCCTTGGTGATCAAAGCGCAACTTGAGTGAGAAGGCCAAGCTGTGCAGGCAGGCATCACGGTCAGCATGTCCCTCGGGGCACAGAGACACGGCTCCACGACCACGTCGTATGCTCATGTCAAGATTATCGATGCTGCCGTACCGATAAAAGCGTGTTCGAAGTACTTGTGCAAGCTTGTTGAGGACTCTCGGACGGAGTCGATGGCCCAGAGAAAAGAGGTCGATGACGACTCTCCGAAGGAGGACGACTCTTCGAATGTGGACGCTTTCATCGGATGCGTCTTCTGGAAATTCGTTGCATCCACCGATCACATAATCGACACCATTTTTCCCCTGCTGCGATTCTAAGGTACGTGCCCTCTGGACAGAGAGGCAGTAGTTCACGATAGAGTTGGGCGGCTTCGTGCATATCGGCAGCAGTCCTTGTCTTGTAGTGGCGCCAAGTCAGCGCTTCGGCAAGATTATATAGAGACAAGGGATGATCGGGATGGGGCTGCGGACGCAATGCAAGGGCGTCGCGTAAGAGGGAAGTGGTGGCATCGATGTCTTGAACATCATTCCGGATGTAGCCCATAAGGCGGGCGCATGCGAGGTTGGTAAGAGCTATGGCATGATCTGGATGGCTGACCGGACACTGGTCCAGAACCAACTGAAAATGCTCTACAGCACGTTTCAGGTGAGAGACCCTCTTGCGTCTGATGTATTTGGCAAATTGTGCGTGGCCCGCATCTGTGTCTCGAGCAATCTCGCAGTCTACGAGGGACTGCAGTTTGCGTTATATCAGCAAAAGCTAACACGACAGATACCAGCATCACTCACGTCAAACAGGGCGTCATCCTGATCGTCGCAAGCATGTACAATGGCGACCTTCAGCTCAAGGGAAGGGTGGACACCGCGCACGGGTGGGAAGGATATATCTATGAGACGTTAGTATATGTGCACGAATGAGAAGCGAATCACTCACCAAATGGTTCATCTCCATGATCGAGCAGCTCATCCCAAGACATTTGAAGTTCGCCGATGAGCTCTCCACCGCCTAGCGTTCGACCAAGCTCAAAGGACGCCCTGATCTCCACTGACAACGCAGGTGAGGAGTGTGATGATCTATAAACCGATGATCAGTTCTTGCATAGCGTCCGAAAGTCTGCATGAACTTTACAGAGCAACAGAATTCGTCCAAGTTACGGATCTATCAGATGATAAGACACTGATGGCTGATTTCCAGCGCCTACTGGAGTCAACATTGATGGATATGTAGATGTCAGCGGGAATGCGCTCGGAAGGGACTTGAATATCTTTCCACTAAGAACTGTAGGTAGAGTGGGAGGATGATGAAACAGAGACGAAGGTAATATAGAGGGACTCGCCTTCAAGTCTGATATATCGTTCTTCTAGGCCACTACGTGTGATTGTGGGACGAAACGAACGACGAACGACGAACGACACGCAGCATCTGAAATTGAGATAGGTTCAGAATGAGCAGTAGAAGGCGGAGGGTGGGTGGAATGAGTCAGACCGTGGATGTACTTCGGCTGAGAAAGAGAAGATGTTCAGGGTTCAGGCCATGCTGTGTATTTCCATATTGTCGAGGGCTGTTTGGCACGATATAGACGCTGGTATGATGGCTCTAAGCGCTGGGAATGGAGATCACCAGGATTAGCGGAAGAATCTAGAGTAGACAATGTCATGAGCAGTCTTGAGCGAAAGTGGACAGCCGAGGTCGAGCGAGTCTCAGAGTAATTGGAGTTGTATCATACTACTCGTCAGCACACCAAGGGGAGATGTAGAATCGAGTGTATTTTGTATGGTAATGCGAACAATGTTAAAACCACTGAAGACGGCAACCGAATGATTGTATACGACTCGTCCGATTGAGCTAATAGTGGAAGATGATGTTGCCTGGACAGAGAAATTAGAAAAGAATGTCAACTTGGATGCAACCAACTGTATGAAATATTTACTATATCATTGGCACCTGTAGGGAAGCCTTGGAGCTTGAAGCTTGAAGGTGATGGGAATATATTAATGGGACATGTGAGCTTCGATGAGGGAGAGATTATAGATGGACATCGACTCGAGGTGGCCGTCATCGATGAGTCTGCCAATTCAAATTTCTATTTCAGTACAACTTCCGTGACCGTGTTGCACATACGACTCAAAGCTTCTGAGTCGGAATTTCAAAGCAAGGGACACTTGCGGTGGACTTGTCTCTGTTAGTTTTGTGTAACAAAACCGCATTGCTGACCACCTTTGTAGCATTTATAGTGGGTATGTAGCGACTCTTTGCTCATTCTCACCGTTGTTCCAGGTTACGATCATGTTCTTCGTTACTCGTAATATGATCGTCCGCTGCATTCCGTTATCCCATTTGACATACTCTCCCAAACCCTCACTGGTGTTTCTACTTTTTTGTGCGTCCTTTTAGCAGTTTTTCTACTATGAAATGCACTAAAATCTACATTTTACCTTACTATGTGCTAAGTGAATTGTATGACTCAGTGATAAAAGTCTAGACGCCGACAGTGGCAAGCCTCGCAGGATACGCATGTTCCCTTTAAACTTGGCGTGCTACTTTCGCTGATGACTGACTTTGACACTGTCCACTTTTTAGCATGTACAGCCTCTCCCGCCAACATTCTATAGTCTGCCATCGTTCTCAGCAAATGCAATGGAAATACACGTGAAAAAAGACCTGGACCACCCACCTCTTCTCCTATCGCCGTCTTTCATACTCCTCATTTCTCGCTACACCTACCACTAAGCACATCCTCGATCCTCCTCATTTTCCCCGTCGCATCACCACGTGTGATGACTTGAAGGTGAGTCACCGCATGTTACCTTCGTACCCCTTTCATAATACTCATGATCCACTCGGATATAGAGTCATCAGCGCAATATGAAAATATGAATGTCCTTTCCCGATACATGCCCGTTGACATTGAGCTATGCATCAGTATCCACTCAAGAGAACGCTGAGATCAGCCATTGGAGTTTTATCTATCTATCTTACCAGGTAGGGATGACACCGTGACGCTGCAATATTCACGGATACTTTCGGATGCATTTGACACAATGCTTACATCCGTTTCAGCACTGAGGGCCAATTCAAAAATGAGGCGTTTGATCAATGTTTTCGTTTTAGACGACCTTTGGGCCCTACAATCGTCACAGCTCACCCTCCAAACCTGCCTTTAAAAAACATAAAGGCACTCGCGGTCAACCGCTTGACCTGGTTTACAGGATATGACATCGAAAAACACGTAAGCACGTTGCACGTTTCTACTGATCTTCAAACCAACCCTGGTGTCCAGGAATGTATTACATTTCAGGGTTTGAAGTGTGGTGAATCTGCTTACGATCGATAAGCGCGGAGCAAGCTGATCAAGCACCAACATACTATATATAGTACGCGCGGGAGTAACTTTGGTATCGTTGTCTCGCAAGCTAATACGTTTCTTGCAGAATCTCATGCAATCTATATTGGATACTATCAATGCTCCTCTGATAGTCCACAACCAGAGAACGGTCCGGAAAGCATGGGGTATTTTGAAGCGACACTCTCATGTAATTCACTCTCGTTTACATTTACAATTTGTAGAATATACTGCTGAAAGGAGCCTTAGGAACGGGGGTAAAGACGGTCGCTCATGCGATCTGCAACATGCTCAAGCGCCCGATGCTTGTC